TAAACCAAGTTTCAGCGAGATTTGTGTTTTCGACCGCCTACCGTGTACCCATCGCCCAGAAATAGCAGTACAAGCGCAGAACTAATATGATATTTGCCATCAACGGGTCAGATAACCCCCATAGACCGAGTTTGTATCGCGAGTGCAAGTGCTCGCGCCTGTACGGGCAGTGCACTAATCAGGATCTTCTTTCGGAGAAGCAGTTTGACAAATTCAGCCCGATTTTTGAAAGGGAGGCGTCAAGTTGGGCGGTGTGCAAGTACACTTTTCTCAGCGGCTACATTCAAATTGGGTCGGTTTAGCTTTATGTCTTTGTCTCAAAAAAGTGTTTGTAATCGTTTGGCATATAGTTTGGCTTTTCAGTATATCATATCTTTTACAGATGCTGCTGAAGAAGTCTGGCGCGTTTTATAGCTTAATAAAGAGCAGTTCCTTCGTGTTGAAGGCTCCCTCTCGAGTGTTTTCCAGCTTGAGTGATCCTACTATCCCACAGCAGGCGTCTGGTTAGTACAACTTTGCTTTGAAACTTCCCTTATCCGCTCCTTCCAGGTAGTAGTGATCCTGATGCTCCCGTTGAGATAGAAAGCAATCCCTATAAAAAGGAAGACAGAAAATGTCTGCTATGTCGAACAGGAATTGAACTCGATTATAAAAACGCCCGGTTACTACAGGTTTGCTTATAAATGTCTTACATATGTCTTTTGTAGGGGATAATTTGTTTTAGCAATTTGTTTCAACGTTTTCGGGAAGAGTGTATGATCGGCACATCACCGGGCTTTGTGATCACCAGCAGAAGAAACTTGTAGAGACTATAGCTTTGTCAAGGAAAGCGGGTTACATGCCTATTTTTGTTAAAGATCCAAAGTATACGAGAGATCCGAAATTATTCGATCCTTTAAGGCCAATTCGGCCTCATTCGTTTGCTTGATTTGATTAGTTCGTCTCATAGTTATATTAATTTACTTTTGTGGGTGATTTATTTTTTTGCTTCTATTCAGTTCGATTGCTCATGCATTTTCATGTCTTACTATGATGTTTAGTTGTCTGAAATGAAAATTATTGAAAGTTTCTTTCGTACTGACTTTGTGGTGCATACCTGCGATGTTTTTCTATACATACATTCTTCATCGAAGAAAACCATGGTCTTGTCTTTTGGTTATTTCGGGCAAAGCCAGCATCATCGAATGTGTGGCACTCTCACAACATCTGAAGATACGCACAATAGGAGCTACTTTATCACTCTTGTCGACAACGCAGAGAGCGAAGACGATGTGGCAGATCTGCTTATGTAAGTCATCTGCATATAAAATGAGCTAATCTAATTATTACCTTTCAGATTGTTCGAGACTTTGAGTGGAGAAGAGCTTGAAAATGCTTTGCCGTCGCTTGTTTTTCTTGCGGAGAAATGTCCCGGTACTCTTCGTTCGAACTTCTTGAATTTGATCTACTGCATCCTGGCCGGTAAAGATTTTTTGGTTTTTTT